CAGTGAACGAATTCCACCAAGTGTTACACGTGACAATCCTTTATGCATGTACCAGTATACGCGTCTTTTTGGATACACACGAATTCCGCAGTATGGCTGCGATCAACTTGTATATACACCGCATCCAAATCCAGCCAAACATATATTGATTACCGTTAGAAATCAATTTTATATTCTGGAAGGATATGATCGAAATGGCTTACGATTGACCGCTGGTGATATTGAAAAGTAAGTGATATATGATGGCTTGCAAAGAATATATATATATATATATATAATACTTATATTTGAATAAAGGCAACTTAATGATATTATTTCTGATGTTGAAAATGCACAAATTGATCCTCCGGTTTGCATTCTTACGGCTGATGATCGTGATTCTTGGACTATGGTAAGTCTTTAAATTGCGAATTGGTAATTTAGTCTTAGATTTATTGACACTTTTTTCTCAAGTCACGCGAACACCTACTAGCAATATCGCCACAGAACCGTGAAACACTGACTCTTATTGAAAATGCATTATTTGCAGTCAATTTAGATGACTATGCAGCTGGAATGGATCTTGATAAATTCCTCGGTAATATATTTCATGGCGTTGATGGTCATAACCGCTGGTTCGACAAATCAATGTCGATTATTGTAGATAGCAATGGACGTGCAGGAATAAATGGAGAGGTACTATTAAATATTTATTTATTTGATCTTGTATAAACATGGTTGTGAACTATATCTTTTATTAGCATTCTCCATGCGATGCACTTATACCTTCACATATTTGTGAATGGGCTGTCAGTGAACCCACTACGCTAAACGCGCAATTATCTGGGCGTCTTATACCTCCTCCTTTTCGAATTCGGTTCATTACTAACGAACAAACACTAAAGGATATCGAAGTTGCGGAAGATAGAACTAAGACATTAATTGCCGATTCTGATGCTACTGTTTTGCAATTCCCGGAATATGGAACTCATTTCATAAAAAAGATTGGTAAATGAATAACTCTAGAAATTTCTTATTATTTAATCAAAATAACAAATATTATTATAGGGAAATGTTCACCTGATGCATATCTTCAAATGGTTATTCAATTGGCATATTATCAACTTCACGGAAGAGTTGTTCCAACTTATGAATCTAGTGCAACAAGAAAATTTTTGCGAGGACGTACTGAAACAATTCGAACCTTAAGTATGGAGAGTAAATCATTTGTAGAAGGGATGTTAGATAAATCACTGAGTGTATGTCTGTGATAATGATTATTTATATATGTTGTGCCTCAGATTAATACTTGCGTCAGAATCGGCAATTAATGTCTTAGTTCTATCTTC